AAAGAAGATCTTTTTTTAATATTTCTATTTCTAAATTATTAGTTTTACAATATGTTAGTATTTTAAACTTTGTGGGGATTTTTAACCTGCACAATATGCACTAAATGATAACCATGGCCAACCATCTTTGAAAAATGTTTCGCTCTGCAATAATCAAAAGCCACAGTGCCTTAAAATATTTGAAATATAACACAATACCATTTAGTAATTGAAAACTATTCATGGAGTAACAATTACTGGTTTATTGACATGCAACGTTTCGACAATGATACTCGCGTCTTTATCAAGCAAATGGTAAGATTTGTTCTTGGTTTTTAACGTCGGCTTCCACAGAAGTGACATCGCAGACAAGCTGTTTTATTTTAATTTTCATTATAATAGCGCACGCGCAGGGGTCTTTTCTGTGGGAGGAAACCTGAGTACCCGGAGTAAACTCACGAGGCTGAGAAGGCGTCCCCTATCTCCAAACCACATACGCAAGCCAGAGGTCGAAGCGCGACACTCTAGACCAATAAGCCATCGTTGTTGTTGTTTATTAAAGATTTAACGTCCAATACATTAAGTATGATATTATGGACAGGTTGATTTAATTAAATTATTTACACATAATGGGTTAAAAATTGGTAAAAAATAATCCTTAAGTATTTATACAGTAAAAGGAAGCCATAAACATATACTATTCAAAAAAAGTAGGGGATATTTGATTTTGGGGGCATAATACTAAAATATGCAAATGACTACGAAAAAAGTCACTATAGAACCTAACAGAAGAAACATTTCCAGTTACATGTGACGCCCAAACGCACCAATAGCTACCGCATGGAATGCAGGTGATGCTTGGGATCATCATGGGGGTCCAACCCAAGATTTGCACGACTCTGACTTTGAATGTTACAGTCATTGTGGCATTGAATTCCAGGGTGGAAACATCAGTTTAATTGTTTTAGTGACCAGAAAACAAATTTTGATATGCGTCGGCTTACCCAAAATGAAAGGTTACGTGCCCTTGGCATGCTACAGATCGGCACAACACAGGCGGTTGTGGCGCGGACGATGAATGTTTCTCAGTCTGTCATAAGCAGGCTATGGTCCAGATACCGTGATACACAATCTGTACAGGACAGACCACGCTCAGGTCGACCAAGGGCGACAACTCGAGCCCAGGATCGATTTATCCGTACCTTGGCCTTGAGAAATCGTGTCATCACAGCAAATCAGATCAGCGCTCGTCTTCAAACTGACACTGGTGTGAGAGTGAGTGGCCAGACGATTCGGAATCGACTGCATAGGGGTCACCTTCGCGCCCGACGTCCTCGCGTGATCCCTTGTTTGAGAGATCATCACATTCAGGCAAGACGTCGTTGGTGTAGGGATCGTCAACACTGGGATAATCGACGCTGGAGCAATGTGATGTTTTCAGATGAGTCAAGGTTCACTGTTGATTTTTTGGACAAACGTAGGAGGGTGTGGCGTCGTCGAAACGAGCGCTTCCAAGACGTTAACGTCATCAGACATGATCGATTTGGGGGTGGTTCTGTTATGGTGTGGGGAGGCATCACTGTTGCTGGAAGAACGGCTTTACATGTTGTTGCAGGGCGTGTTACAGGCCAGTACTACCGGGACAACATCTTGGCAGTCCATGTTGTGCCGTTCGCACGACGTCATGGCCGCCGTTTCATCTTCCAGGATGACAACGCAAGATGTCACAGGGCCAGGATCGTTACAGGTTACCTCCAACAACAGAACATCACCACATTACCTTGGCCAGCACTGAGTCCCGACCCCTCCCCCATCGAGCATGTCTGGGACATGCTTGGACAGAGGTTACGTCAACGTCAACAACGTCCTGCCAATGTCCAAGAACTTGCTGCTGCGTTGCAACAGGAATGGGACAATCTGGACCAAAATGACCTAAGACGTCTCATTAGGAGTATGCCACGTCGGATCAATGCTTGTTTGGCAAACAGAGGAGGATTTACCCGTTACTGACTTGGTTGTGATGCTGTGGTAACTTTGCTGTTTGACCCCGGGTATCATTTTACCCTTATAATGGTCAGTCTGTGCCTTACTTAGTCTAACGATCATTTGGAATAAATCGATGAATGTGAACTTCATTTCATTTTGTCATTTGTTTCTTCGTCAGTTTCATTAGGTGACTTTAATAACACTTAAAAATCAAATATCCCCTACTTTTTTTGAATAGTATATATACAACACAAACGCTAATATAGTGACAACCTAACTACAACAATTCTGAATAATGTGATGGACTACTGTCTAATGATTCGGACGCATGCATGGGGAAGGTAGACTCTTGCATCTCTATTTAGGACTGTCGTCTATCTGAATACTTTCCATGATTTTCCTCGTTCGAGTTGGGTACTTCTACTTCTGACCATTGGCATTGCATCCTGTGTCTCTTGTGGTTACTCAGGTGTTCAACGACTGCAGTTTGGTTATCCTTCGATAGTGATTGGTGTTCCTTAATTATTGTATTAACGATCTTTCAGTTTCCCCATTACATTGGTTTTCACAGGAACACATCCTACTGGTAGCGGAGGATTTGATGTGGGGTTCTTCCTGTTAGCTTTTAATGTCGATCCCGACTCTGCTTAAAGGAGCTAAATCGCTAATATTTGGGATCTAGAAATTGACACAAATGGGAGAGAGAGCGGGAGAGAAATGGGGTTTAACGTCCATTCGACACTCAGCGATTAGTGGGGAGGGGAGGGGGGGCTTACCATGGGAGTCCATGAACTTGTTCAAATATATCATCACCCCAACTAAAATATGTCGAGCTTACACATTTATTTAGTAAAGCAATAATGCTGTCTGTACTTAGCTTGGTGTTTAGTGGGGTCTCTGGGTCATCGATTCTTTGTCTTAGTGCCTGCAGTGCTTCATTTCTTTGGATGTTTGTGAAAAGATCGACGACATCATATGAAATAAATTTGCCTACATCATTGCATATTCCTGAAGCAATGTTCCGAGAAATCCCTCTTTGCCCATTGCTGGATTGGCTTCTGATACTTGAGCTTTTGAGGGAGTGTGTGTATTCTTCCCGTTCAATCAAATCTATCCCAAGTACAGCAACATGACAGCCCTTCGTTTAATCTGGGGTCTTCCCTAAAACTTTGGACAGTGATTTAAGGTATCAAAAACAGCGAAAAGTATTCTTCGTCTCCATACAGCACTGTTTACATCGTAGTCGTGTTGATAGCCTCGTTTATCACGCAATTAGTTTTTCTGCAATATTCTGATATGCACTGGTTAATTGGGCATAATAACATCGCGAGTCCTGACCTAACGTTATGTAACCATTTTTGGTCCAATTTGGAGCATTGTTTAAGATGTAACGATATTGTTACGCAGTTAGCTATTGGTTGTTATAAATCGGACTATTGACCGGTCATAATTTGGAACAGAAATTTGCTTCCATTAAAGCAGTGTTTAGTGGGATTAGCTCTAATCAAACGAAACACTGGGAGGAGTATGACATCTTGGAAACACCTGATTTTCTCACAGAAGTCTGTCGAATCTTTGATAAAAACTTTTTTGCAGATTTACCTAGTGGGGATAATAACATGACCAAGTACTGCGCAGTTTTGTAGAATACCGATTCTCTGGAGCAGACAGAACAGACTAATAGGCGGGCTTTAATAGGTTCTTTATGTATTTTTATTGTGGCTCTGGAATACGGTGAACGTGGATGCATCACTCTCGTCTGATACATGGTCTCATCAATTATTTGGTTTAAAGTCCGCAATTCTTTGAGATGGCTAAAATGTTGATTAGTTAGAGTATTGGTGGGGTCTTTAGTTTCTTGCATGTGGTTCTATCTGGGAGTAAGTTGTCAACTATGGTATTGTATCTGCTCTACTACGGTGATGTGTCCACTCGACACAATTTAGGTCATTTCAAGACTAACATGGTTAAATTTTATTTCAAAAGGGGTCTTTACCAGTGGGAGGAAACTGGAGGACCCTGAGAAAACCAACGATGTTGGACATGTGACCCTACTCCTTGTCACGTACAACAGGGGAATCAAAACCACGCCAGTTGACTCAATGACAGACCTTATGATAAAATGCGCACACACTAACCATTCAGCCACCTATTTATAACATCCCTCCCTTCCCGCTAGGGCTAGTTCGCGTATTCCTTCTTGTATATATTTATGGCTTCCTTTTACTGTATAAATACTAAGTTTTTACATACATATGTATATGTTATCATTTGCTTGATAAAAACTAGAGTATCATCATCAAAACGTTGCATGTCAATAAACCAGTAATTGTTACTCCATAAATAGTTTTAGTGTGTGACAATACCATGTTAATAATAACAGAATATGACATATAAATGGAATGAGTTAAAAGTAAACCAATAAGGTACATTGACACAAAGGAATAAAAATAAACAAAAGAAAAGACATTTGTATAACACTCTAGTTATTTGTTCTCCACTTCAATATAACTAAAACAAATTTAACCAATTTTCCCTCTATGGACAGAGTTTCAGGACTGCTGTTAGGAAATTCCATGCTGTGTGAGTTAAGGCTTGATATTTACATACGATTTGGATGAAATTAATTTCAAACTTTAATTCCAAATTTTATTCCCTTACGTGAATCTGAACTTACACCACATACTTTGTATTTGTATTAATTTGATTATAATATTGGTGAATTATAGTGTCAGTTTTATTGGTTTAGCATATGAATATAAATGTGCAGTGGTAACATTACAAAATTATTTACAATTCCGAAGGTTTATTTAAAGGAGCTAAATCGCTAATATTTAGGACCTAGAAATTGACACAAATGGGTGGCAACGCATATAATAATGTAATACAAATGTATATAAACTGATTTACATTCAATTGTTTCTGTGAAATACGCCAGAAGTCTCAATCCAATGTCAATCTCTTGTGTCTGGTTATTCTAGTCTACACTGATGGTATTTACTGTGCATGCACTCCAGATAAAAATACAAATAGCATTGAAATGCATTATGGTATACGATTCATGTACCAATGGTAAAATGTTTATTTTGTCTTAAATATTGGATATCAGAAGCCCATCTCTTCCCGGTAAGATCACAACATCAATGTTGATTTAAATTGACAAATAATTTGTGTTGTCAATGTCGAAGACTTTGGATAATATTGAGTTAGAGACTTAGCTACATTAACATGTATAAACACACAGCAGTGTGCAATGTAAATGCAAATTAATTTGCTGCCAAACTGATGAGAATCGATTTGTATATAAACTTTAAAAATTCTCAACACAAGCTAAAATATAAAATATATACATATAACATAAGCAATCATTTAAAGCAGTTAAACCCCTTTGGCCTAGGTCAAAATAAAGTGTTAAATTGGATTCATCTGATGTGTTAATTTAATCAATGATGGGAGGCAAGCTCCATACAGTGGAAGTCAGCTTGTTTATTCAATTTAGTTTAAATTTTGGCTCACTGTGTCAAGTCTCTGTAAATCCAATAAAACTGACAAGTTTTTACCCAAATCAAAGAGGTTTAATCATTTATAGTAACAATAACATGGTTTTACATTAAACACAAATATGTAATAATATTATGTTGTGACTTTATATATTTCATTAATTAATAATCTTTTGTCAAGCAATACTATTTATTTATTTTCACTCCTCATAACCAGGCATTTTCCCTGTTCAAATGAAGCTAAAGTAACGTAAAGTAAAATCTTTGATACGTTTTGTTAAACAGTGACCTGTCTCTTGAATAACTGATGTCTGTCCCTTAAGCAAGTAATTTTGAAACAGAATGTCAAATTTTAATTACTATTATGACAAATGGCATTTACTATTAATTTGTCAAATTTTATTTACTGTTAATTCGTTAAATTTTATTTTCTGTTAATTTGTCAAATTTTATTTTCTGTTAATTTGTCAATTTTTATTTACTGTTAATTTACCAAATTTAATCGACTTAGTTTAAAATACAACTTAATTTCTACATTATCAAATAGTTAAACTGTCTATATATTAAAACATGTAAATACATATATGTACATGAACAAAGGTCTCAATGTATCATATTATTTTGCAAGCTAATACTAAAAGCAATCATAGTACACTTAATGTAATCATTTAAATTAATAAAACTAGGTATTAAATCTAAACGTAAGGCATAAATACATATATTCACTGAACTATACACAATAAAATTATCTCTTCATTTTCTAGCAATTATTAACTTTAATTTATCAAAAAAATATTAATGAATGATATTCTTCAATGTACTGAAGAACTAAAAGATGAAGGCCCTTATGTTCTTGTAAACATAATAATTATGTAACCATAGCACTTCTCCAAAATGAAACATGACATAGGTCATTACTATTGGGTTTTTTTTGTTTAAAAAAAACTACTGTTTGAGTCAGCAACAAACACTTTATCCAACAACAGCACATAAAATAACAATTCTCAAAAATATTTAACACTTGTTCATTTACTGTCTGTTATAGCACTCATGATTTTTTTTATTTATTTAAAAAAGAGTTCAAAATTTCTTTTAATTTTGAAGCTGGTTGAGAACATCATGGGCATTTTGAAAAGTTTCTGAGTCCATATGACAATCTGGCACCTCACTGGCTACTAGTTCATTTGCACCCACTTGTTGTAAACCCGTCAACAAGCTCTCCGCTGTACCACCACTCAACATATCCAATGATTCAAATGATAATATGTCTCGACCATCCAAACCATTATCTTGTAAATATTCCATTAAAACTTGTGGATCTATATTTGAGGAATCGAATGAGCTTTGCCCAGTTGTGTAATTAACTCCCTGTTGAGTTAGATCTTGCATGATGTTATACACCTGGTTTGGTTTTATGGCTTCTGAATGCTGAGCTAAATTGTTGTTAGGAGCGATAGTGATGTTTCCCATAGTTGTATTATCTGTTGTACGGAAACTAAATGATGAACTATTAGACGGGTTGGTTTCATAACCAGATGTGTTAATATTACCGAGCGAATAGGATGGCAAAACTGAAAGAACAATATAATATGGGTTTATACCACTCATTACCTAAAAAACAATACATATATAGATGAATGCATCTGTTTCAGTTATTGGTGAATCTAATTAAAATCAGTGTGAGACAGTCATTCAGATGAGGGGGTAATCAGAGCCTTTATTCCCTGTATACATGTAACTCATACCTATTAATCTAGATCAAAGCATCTCATTATTGTCATTCAAGATGCTACAAGCACTATTCTTGTGGAGTTCTGGCGCTATAGAAATGGACATTTATTATTATTTGATTGGTAGATGGATCAGATCATGGATTGACCAATCACAACCTAAATATTAGTGAACAAGGTTAAAAAAGAAATGGCCTTAGAACCAGGAGAAAGTGGGGTATAAACAGCCAGAAAATCAAACAGAATGAAATGATGGTACAATTTAAATTAGATTGATTAATGGTCAAAATATGTCAATTGTTTCAGTGTCTAAATATTACAAAATATAATTACAAAATTAAATTATATAACAGATTATTACAATTAATTTCCAAAGTCCATAACAATGATTTGAGTCATATACTAAATTAATCATGTCTTAAAACTCCACAATGCACAATTCTGGACAGATAAACTAACCTGGTGTAGTAACTTCAGTTTTAATTTCTGCTTGTGTGAACTTTCTATTTGCTTTTAACTTATTTCTTAGTCCGTCCTTGACATTTACATTGGCTCCACCACATCTTGGTCCAGCCCCGATATCTGATAATAAAAATATCAATATATCTAGTGACATTAACAAAAAAGTATCATTTTAATAGCATTTCGTGTATTTTATTGTTACTATTGTCCTAGAATTTTGGCACCGTTTTAAGGTAAGCAAGATGGGTGCTTTTTGTAGTTATCTGACTATTGTTTAAGGATACATTATGTAAGATTTAGATAAAGACCAGAGTCCGGTTACTCAAAACTAAGTTATTTTAACGATCCGTTAAACTCTTAACGCATCGTTATCTTGCTAATTATGGTTTGTTAACGGTTCGTTAAATTTGTGTTGCTGGAAAGTCAATTTCATTATCCATTAGCTAACGGACTGACTAAAGTTAATCCAAGAAAAGACTGTTTGTTCACTGGCTGAATTTTAAATTTTCAAATTCAATGTACATGTATATCAACTTCATAGAAGTTAGTATTAACATAAAACCAAAGACAGTGGGCCCAAAACCTGATTAAAGACAAAAAGAAAACTGTAGAATTTACAACAGAAAACACTATAAAAAACTATAGAATACTTTATTTTTTCCTTTAGAAATTTTAGCATAAATCTGTAGAAAAATTATGGGATTTGCACAACAGAAACTGTAGAATATTTGGGGCCATTATTTCCTACAGGCCCCTCCAAACTCTGTAGAACATTAAATGGCGATGGTGTTTCAATCTGTTGAAATCCCTGCCTATGATGGTCTAGAATCAAGAGAGTTGATTACAGGCTTGCCATGTGAATAAATGTCTAAATAATAATTTATAGAGCATTTGAAGCCAAAATAAAGACTGCAATATGCAGATTTAGCTCTTACATAATATACCTTTCAGAAAAGGGAAATGGCTTAAATATTTTTCAATAACATACCTTGTTCAAGAGTTACCATTCTTTCAGCTTTTCTCTTTCTCTTTTCTTCAATTCTATCTGGGTCTATAAAATATGACAAACATGTTATTCTGTGGGTAAAATTTGAAGATCAATCTCAACTGGTTTTTGAAAGAGGTCAAACCATAATATATAAGGATGGATAAATTAAATAACACTGGAATTCAATATGGATATTCGATTTCTGAATTCTGAATTGATGAAATTGCTATCAAGTGGCCATGCAGTGAGTTTTGTCATAGTCATATCAAACCTAACAAGCCAACCGTGCCCCCCCCCCCCAAAAAAAAATAGATTACACTCATTAATTACTTGCACACATATCTTTCTATAAAGCATCAAGCTAAATGCTTTTCAAGCTGCTTAACTTGTGCAGAAAATGCTCCTTTTCAAATTTTGTCAAACGATCAACAAATCCAATAGCTTATCTCTGCTCAGTCTTATTACTAAATGCTTATCATCGAACTCAGTCAATTAAGATAGTCACCTTAGGAACATCAACACCAAGTTTAATTATTCTACCTCAATTAGCAGTCAAGCTATTGTGTTCCAAAATCATGAAATAATAATACACAACGAACATTTTCAGCCATAATGATTGAAACATGATCTGTCATGACTTAAATCTCAGATTATTCATTCAAGTATTTCCAATAAAGTTTGAGTAGAATTGATAGAAACCAACTATAATAATAAGTATATTACCTGGGTCTTCAGGCATATATGTAAAGCTGATGGGTTCACTGGTTTCGCCATCTGAAGGTCGCTGTAATTGCATATGAACATCAAACGGTCGACTAATATAACATTCTCTATATGGTGGTGTCCTGAACACAATAGCATACTGAAAGACAATTGGAAACATAGTTAAAATTTCATTTAACACTAAGTTATAATTTTATCATACACAAAGTTATAATTTCACCATACACTAAGTTATAATTTAAGTTTCAAATGTTTTACTTTTATATAGTTTTATCATAATAAAACAACAGGTTTTTTTCTGTATGCTAAAAACTGATCCGATGTTAATAATCATACGCTTCATACGTGTGATTAATGAGAACATGTTTCTTACCTGTCGATGCACATCTCCAGCTCCGAATTCACCATAATTCTCCCATACTACTGTTCCATCAACACTTTCTTCATAAAACCTCACACCAATATCATCTATTTCATAATAAAATTACATTAAAGTAACTGATAACATAAACCCTATGCTTATATTTAATTGAGTAACCTCCCTTTATTTGTTACAAAAATAAACTTCTTTAATCACTTAAATACCACATAGAACACCAGAGCTGGATCCTCCTCTTTGCCGGAACCTAAAACCTTCTGGTAGTCTACCTAAAATTACGAACATGGATTATGTCCCTCTTTACCTTTGTTAATCTTTTCACATAATAGAAAGACTTCATCTCCACCTTGAGCTTTTCCTGAACTTCTATCAAGTCTACAGATGACCAAATCATTCAAAGCCTCTGAAATAGTTTATGTATTATTTGTTACAATTGTACTGTAACACGATATCATAGATTTACCGTTTTAGAACAGAAAGAAAACATACAACATGGTTGACAACACATATTATTATCCATTATGATGACAATTTTAACTTTTCGATTCAACAGATACATTAAAATTTACATAAATCAAACAGATGATTACTCTTTAGATGAGCACTGGGAATAGTTTCATGTCCAGATAAATTATTCTAAAGAATTTACTGAACTTACTTTTATCATGTATGGCATGAGAGACAACTGGCTGTAAAACTTTGGTTATCTTCCCATTACTGTCTGGTAAAAAGACTTGAAAACACAATCTTACTGCATTCATCTCTGATGATACATTATTAAATTCAAATCCAGCTGTAATAAAATGAAACATAAATTACTTGATCAGTGAAAGCCACATATAACCCCATTAAGGATTACAAAAATAGTTTAGTTTAGTTATTTATTTTTAATTTCCGATTATGCCCCTTTTCTCAATTTCAGTTAAAGGCAGGATCCTACCTAAGAATTGCACATTGATAACAGAAACTTGCGATTTAGTGTAATATTAGTATATGCTGTCCCAAATCAGATTTGATAATTTGAGCGTAAAAATTAATTGGTTGCCATGGAAATAGTGGCCATATTGGATTTTTTATATATTCATGGTGGGTAGGCTATGTTAGGAAATCAAAATCTTCACCACTTTTATTGAAACAAACTATTTGTGATTTGGAATAACATGTATAGACATTAAAGAGTGCAATGAGGTATAAATTTTACTATTTGACTGTTAATAAAGAACATTATGCATCCCAAATAAAACAAGTGGGCGGGGCCAAACACACCACTAACAAGATTTTGTACAATAAAATGTCCAAATATTTAAAAATATTCATTGCACACAGTAGCTATAGCACTAATCATATTCCAAAAATGAGATCATTATCTTTCAAGTTAAAAGTTAAAAGTTTGATTTACCTACATGTATATGAATAACTAAATATTCAACACTATATACTATTAAGGCTAGACACGACTTGAATATAATATTATAGTAGCTAAGTCTCTAACTCAATATCATCCAAAATCTTCAACATCGAAAACACGATTTATTTGTCAAATTAAATCAACATTCATGTTGTGATCTTACCGGAAAAAGATGGGCTTTTGATATCCAATATTTAAGACAAAATAAACATTTTACCATTGGTACACGAATCGTGTACCATAATGCGCTTCAGCCCCAGTTGAATCAAGAGACTCGTGGTACGAGGCTAGACACATTGCACCAAATCAAACGGCGTATGTAGACTGGAATAACCAGACGCTAGAAATTTGCACACGCTTGAGACTGCTGGCTTATTTCGCCTAACATAACTGATTTGAAATTGGAGTAAAAACGGAAACGATTGAATGTAAATCAGTTTATACACATTCATATTACAGTATTATATGCGTTGTGACCCACTTTTGTCAATTTCTAGGTCCCAAATGTTAGCGATTTAGCTCCTTTAAGACTGGACATGACTTGAAAAATCTGCAAATTTTAAAGATACATTCCCGCCTACAAACTGGGTGATTTAATGGTATATATGGACTAAAAACATATTCAAACTAATTAATTTGTCATAATTTTGCTTCAAATCCTTCTCAAATTTTGTAATTGCGAAGGAATGCCCTGCTTTGAAAATTGGATCAAACCAGGTCATGTTTACGTCACATGACTTACCTCTCTTGGAAGTCAGAGGAGAATCGAATCCTACAGTAGAATCTGCATTAAGCAGCCACCCAAGGGAATTTTCATGACTGACCGCTTAACGGGAGTGGCCTCTTAATAAAATCTTGGTGCTTTTTGTGCTGACATAAATTAAATATTACACTTGGATGCATTAAGCGAACATCAATACTTGCATCAGTAAATTTGACTGTCGCTGAATCTTGCGTCGAACGAAAATTCTTTATTCAAGTCTCGGACATAACCTCTGTAAACTTGTCATTTTGTACCAACCTTCGATACTACTGTCTACCATTGTTATGCATTTGATAATATTTATCCATTTTTGTGAAGAAAATCGATGAATTAATTTTATTTTATCAAAAAAGCACATGGAAAAAAAAAACATCGCTGATTTATCACCTATTTACAGGGGGTGTAACTCTGTATGTAATATTATAGGAGGCGCTAAAATGTCTGTTTAACAACAAAGTGGCAATGGAAAAGAGATACTAGATGATCGTGACAAAACTCGGTAATTTTATTTTATTCAACAATGGCCATTGAATGGGTGATGTTTTGTTGAATTTATTAGTAAAATAGTGACCCGGGCCGCGTTAGAGGAGTGACCGTTGAATAAAGAGATGAAACAATAGAATTTTTACGGGGGGGGATTTATCTTGACCGCTTACAAGGAGATGTCGCTGAATAGGAGTGGCTGCTCATACAGATTCTACTGTAATTAAATTCTCGGATTATCCACTACCCACGTCTTTTTCCGTCATTTTTATCTCAGAAAGTGTTGTGTGTCTAACTCTTCATAAAGTTTATCAACTTGTACATAAAGCGCTCAATTTTCGCGTGTGATTGACATCACGCGTGCAGATATTCCTAATCGTCGGGCTGTCGATAAGGGGAACCCTTACATTTTTGTCCTGTATACGCTCCATGAGTGTTTTATGGGGAATCCAGTATTTTTCTAGTAAGATTGGATATCTCTACTTTGAGTACTTTCCATATATACCAAAATTGCCATACTTTTATTGGAAATAACCACCCGATAAATACTTTTCTGGGAACCCATCTTTAACTATATTTGGCAATTTTAGCTGATATCGAAATTTGACAGCTTGATCTATACAGTAGTATCCTGCCTTAAATAGTGCTACTACTAATTAACAAATTAAGTATGCAAGCTAAATGAAACCAATTAGCAAAATTAACATGTACTATTCAAAAAATTGAACTTACTTTGAAAGGGGTCAACATTAATTGTCTTCCTTAATTTTAATGATTCCTCAATACCTTTCTTCTTAGCACACTGTATCCCCAAGTGAGGAAAACTGTGGAAAAACAAGAATAGAAACAATAACAGCTTTACCTGATAGTTTTGATAATAGTGTTTTGTAGAGACTAGTAAAGCAGATTCCGTTCATATCAGAGATCCTGGGGGTCAAAAGTCAACCTTAAGACGGTAGACTTATAAATTAGTTTTTCTGTTCTACCCAAAAATGCTTGTGAACTTCTAAATTGTAATTTATTTTCAATAAAAAAAACCCTAAAACCTGGTAATACCTGACTACTGTAGTATCTTTTACTTTGACTGTACAGACTCCCTTCTTGCAGTCTTTACCCACTAAACAATGAGGATGAGGCTTGTAGGGAGAATCTTTTGTTACACATGATACAACAACTATAGCTGGACCTCTGTGATTTTGTATCTATAAGAGCAATAAAAGATAGTTGTGTATGTTTGTTGTAATAATGAGATTTATGTAAGTATGCTGCTTCTTGTGGGCATTTTAATGTAATAAACTTTATCTTTAATATTGCTAGCCATGAAGTTACATATTCGTAAAGGTAGATAACTGTTGCTGATTTGTCCTGGGGTTTTTTCATCCTATTCTGTATGATTGCATCAGATATACATTTTTAATAATGAAGTATAATATGAAATTCATCCACTGATCAAGAAATGTTAGTGAGAAGTGTAGTTAACAAAGATGAACACATCCAGACAAGTTGGATTCCCAATGTTCACTTAGCTTAAACAGCAGAGGTAACTGTCAAGGCCCATGGTTGTTGTTAGGCTGAATGGTCGATGTATAATCTTATTTTACTGATTTGTTATCAACATTGGGCTATGTTTTTCATTTAAGGTCTTCCTAATGGATTTTACAAAGTAGCTTCTGGCCTCTCACAACTGAGGTTTGGAACAATATCTATTTCCTTTTGAATAAAGAGCACAATCTCTGAATAGCTTTCACTATTTAGAACGAAGTTAACACTAACTTACACATGCCCCAAATTCACAATGGTTGTTCATTGGAAGGTTACCCAAGCTGATATGATAAATATCTAATAATTATTTACTTTAATTGTTGGAAAAGTTTTCTTTTCAGCTGTACTACTCTGCCCTGGTATACTGCCTGCTGATCTTCCTTCACACTGATATCTGAACCGTAATCCTCTTTGTCTAGGCTGTTCAGTAATTTCAACATATGGCATTAGCTCTTCAATGGGTGCCCTAGGTTTAGGTTGGAACTGTTGTGGTTGAGTTTGTTGAATAACACGTTCTGGCATTATGGATGAACTGGTTAGCATTGGAGACATATCTTGCATAGGAGCATTAATCATTGGTTGTGCAGATGCTAAAAAAGAAAACAAAATATTTACAAATTTAAAGCTGTAAATAAAATATTCCAGACCTTGGCATGATTTTATATAATGGTGAGTAGGTCTACTTAGTACACCAGCATCACAGACAGCCTTCAATTTGTACCATGGAAGTTTGCTCCCCTACTCTTCAAATTCAAGAGAGTCTACTTCAGGGTGCCCATCTTTCATTGTACATTCTGCACATGCATACATCTAAACTACAAACAGAGACATATTAATGATGAAGAAAATTTAAAAGACAAATTGTTTGCAAAACTGATGAATTAATTATTATGATCATCGCATAGAGAATACACCAAACCTAATTTTTTATTTGTTGTTCAAAGCAACAGATGTTGATACATGTAAATGTGACTTATTAAAAGAGAAATCCTGCTCCCGCTGTGTTCCTAAGTTTAGAATGTAACAATTATCACACATCTCAGTGTACCAATGTTCATCACAACATAGGAAAGACTGCATGGATCGATTACAATAATAAACAAATTTACTAAGTACTTACTCTCTTCTGCCATACCAAAGTCGCCGATCTGTGCTCGGAGATCAGCACTAGGCATATTTAGTAGATTGTCGATCACTCCACTCTGCATACTGGTTCCTTTAAAACACAATAAACAAAATTTACCCGAGATTCTAACAATTTTGGGATTGCTGATATCAAATGCATTTTAAATATTCAATTGGACTGGTTTATTTTTTTAGTGCATTTTTAGATTTCTAGTCGTACTATAGATTTTAATATTTTCCTTCATCTGTTTGTTGATTTCACTGAATTAATGTTTTTAAATGTTTCATATGAGACTGAGAACAGAATAAACTCCATTGTTTTAATTCCTATCAAATAATGAATTCCTAAAAACTCTGTTCAAATATTTCTGTGAGCACTAAAATACGGAATATAAAGCGAGTGACACACACTTAAAACCATAATATAGCAAACAATATAGATTTTTTTTTTCGATTTAGATACAGTTTGTTGAGTCCAACAGTAATTATAAATTTTTTTTGAAAACCTATAGTACCTGTATGTTTCGCACTTCCGTTATGAATATGAATTTCAAGTCAATTACTTCAGTGTCTAATCTGTTGATAGTAATTGTGGACGACCGACGGACAGGGGTGACAAAAATATATGACCAAAGTAGTTCAGCTCTGACCGTAGGTCTCATTACACTCGCCCTGTACGTTCAGGAACCGGCCTATCGACTCCTGTCGATAAAATTTCAGTTCCGAGTAAATCTTACTGGGCAACTTTTTACTGCTAAACAGTCGTGTGTCAGTCCCTGTGAACGCCTGCACAATGTAAAGGAACATTTTAGTAAGAAAATAAGACCTTGCTTACCTCAGTATGTGCGACACAACATGCTATTAAAAATATGTCTTCTGCTAAACAGTTTGGCAGAAGCCATTGAATTTTTCAAAGATTCCCATTGTTTCCCTCCCTGCTTACCTAAATTTCGTTTTGTCATATCTGGCCGAATTACCTAAATTTATGCGTTATCCTATATTTAGATTTCAATGACGTTACCCTATATTTAGATTTCAATGGCGTCTGCAAAGCTGTACATTCTACATGAGTTCGCGGGGACTGACACGCGACCGTGTAGCAGTAAAAAGTTATCCAGTAAAATTTACTGGGAACTGAAATTTTTTTGACAAGGAATCAATAGGCCGGTTCCTAAAAGTACAGGGCGAGTGTAATGAGAACTGTCGTTCAGAGCTGAACTAGGGTTTATAGTGTCACACACCCTCCTGATGGAGCCGATCATTAGCTAGAAAATACCCCTCAGAGATGAACTTATATAGGCTTCGGATTGTTTTCAAATCAATTATATCATTATTGTAAATACTCATGTTGTACTCGAAATAAAAATATTGTTTATAATTTAAATTTAAACCAATACCCTTCTGGCTGATATTCATGATCGCATTCTTGATGAGAGAAATTGACACTTATTATTTATGTAATTTTAGCTTGAGTCAAATAATACTAGTCTTCTGGAGTATATAAATAACTTTAACAAACAGAAATTATTCATATGATCATAGACGGTTCATGATTACATGATATAATCTGCATTGCCATGCTTTTTGTGAACAGACGCGGCCGAATCGCCTTCTGAGATAAGTGAACAAACCAAGATTCAGCCATTTTCTTATTTGGCTGTTTTTGATGAGTACAGATTCTAATCCCATTACATTAGACTTGTATTCTCTCGTATGGTATTTCAAAATATATGTAGAAAGATAAAATACAAACCTCCACCAAAGGCTGACATTTTTGTTGTATAATATTATAAACACTATATTCACAACACCACTTTGATCATTCTAAAATTATTCTACAAGTTTTCCCGGAAACGTCACATTCTATTATTAGAATTCTGGAAAATTGAAGGCATGTTTGTCCAGACGCTCAAAACTAAGACATTTTATTACGCCCCCATCAATCCAAACTAGAAAAGTAACGAATCGAATAGGATTTGTGGATTAAAAAACAAAACAAAAACATTTACTCGGGCCTTCGTTTTGATTTCAATAAGCGTTACCATTTTTTAGTTGAAAATTCAATGTCTGGTTGTGGACCGGATGTACAGTTTCTGCGATTGAAGTCGGCTCTCATTTTCGGGGCACCCATTCAGCCATTGATTTCAGAATTACTGATAATTATTTGTTAAATACGGTTGTGAAAATCACTCCTTTGTCTTATACCCATATCAGTATTTTTAAACACACAAACAATCACCATTATTTCTCCTTTCTTAGACCTGTGATTATCGTTACCAAATTAGGCTAACTTAAAGTAGCGTAAGCATGGAGGTGTATATATAGACGAGAGTGTATGGTGGTCACGTGATCGCGTGCCGACTACGGAGGTCGGCAGCCATTTTACAACCGGGAAGATTTAGCCTACGTTGGAGAGTTGTTGTTGTTTTGGTTAATTCAATGTCAGGCGAAAAGGGAGTGGATTATCATTTCATAAGTAGGTAAGAAACCGGAAACCGGGCGGGTCTATATTATTGGTACTGATACTTTTATTATGTAATACTTACAATGTCCGTGCGTTTAGCGAACTTCCAAATTAATGTATATTTAATTATTATGGAAATTGCGCATATTATATATATAGGGCCTACACACATTTTGCATTGTACGAAAAATATCGCGGGGAGTAAGTCTACTTATTGGAGCGGAGTGTTTAGTCACAGACATGCACTCACTGGCCAGTAGTTGCTTTACTATCGGTTAGTTTTACTCCCTCGGATTTTATTAATTAGGCCGACATTCATTGTGCACACAGATGTACAGAATAAGTGAAAGTTGCTTGCAATATTTATGTTTCTTTTTTTTCCTTCTTCTGAAAACCCGCTTAAAACCCCCGAACTAGTTAAAAAAGAAAAATGGTTAATTAATAATAATAAGTAATCTTGATAACTTCATTCCCAGTCAAATTTTGTAAAAAAAAATAGGCCTGATGATAATGATATTTTTTTTTTAATCGCTGCTACTACGAAAATCTTATTAAGTATGATTAGGTTAGTCTTATTTTTTTGTAAAATTTAATATACCGCCGTATTTTTCAATAAACAAAAATCAGACACCAGATCATGGAAATTGAAAATCATATAGGCCTACTAAGGCCTTGCTAGGCGTGTTTATATTTTCCTTTTTTTAAAAAAATATTTCCAATCGGCATCAGATATTATTCTACTGGTAAATTATAGAAGTCATAGAATATTTTTAAAATCGATTTTATTTCTTTACATGATATACATAACATAGGCCAGGTGGCGTTAGTCTATCACTTCCGATTTCGGAGTTATGACCCCCGAGCGAAGCCGGGTATCCTGCTAGTTATTAATAAAATAAACATGATTTCGTCAGTTCTGTATTATTACAATTTACACCCTGGATGGTGACCATGCCACGGTATTCATCATGATGATGATTATGATAAGAGTTATTTTTAATAATAAAGCCCCCAAAATATGCCAATTGACCAAAACGATTTTGTTTTAGGACAGTAAGGTAAGACCTTTCAATCATCATTTTTTTGGTTGATATTGTTGAATTAGACCTGCTTTTTTAATGGGCTTGTCCGCCCTCCGTCAGTCTATTTCCCTTTGTTTACATAGCGTTCATCCGGGCACTTCCTTGATTCTTTCCCGATTGAAACATGGCGGCCAGTCTCCAGTGACGGCCCACGGCGTTAACGTTACGTCAATGGGGATCACGTGACCACAATACACTCTAGTCAATATATACACCTCTATGAGCGTAAGTCACTTATTCACACCACTTTGTTATTTCATATTTGTACTTGTCTTGTAGACTCGATATAATATAGTCTAAAAATGGGAGTAAGTATTTTGATTTGTTCACAGAATGCAGCAATCTGTTTCACACTAGAGATCTTCTAATATTGTAGCGGCCTAGCGAAAATTCACTGCTGATCAGTGTGGGAATGCAGGGCCCGCGTTTCGGTCACAACCTTTTAATCCTATCTTTCTCTGTAAAAAATGTGGTTGGGTGGCGGAATGGTAGGGTGACCCACCATAAATAAATATCTCCATATATCTCAACAATTTCGCCACAATATTTATATATATGCCAAGCCTCAAATCAGTTTCACACAATTATAGTCACTAAATAAACGATCATGTTGTACTTAATAAGCTATGACCATTAATCATCTATAAATAATAGACTGAAAACTGGTTCCATGTGTCGTCCATAACATCCAGACACTTTTGAGTAAAAGATAGGTTACGTGCCCTTGTTTTGAAATTAGTCTCGCTTAACCAGTCTATCGACCATTCTAGGGCTGATTGACAGGTCGGGATAATCAAGACTACTTTTTTACGAAACATAACAGAAAGCTAGAACAAGAAATTGAATTTAGAAATGAGCACGTTAGCTAGCTCAACAATTGTTTTAAGAAGCTTGTAAAAGTAAAATGAAACTACTGCTAGTATCATGTTCCTGTCTAACCCGAGTGTTTCTGAGATATTATTTGTACTAAACCAAAAGATGCCGCTCTTAACGGTACAGTTAATGGTGAAGCGATTTAAAAAATGAAACGAACGTAATTTCTAAATCTGCTGTAATAACCAAGAAGCTTAATTTCACTGCTATTCAAAATCGTCAACAATAATTTTTTTACGGCTGTAATAGTTGATAGATTTGTAGAGAATTGCACGTGCCATGGCTATTTATAGTATCATACTGTCAGAAAGTTGGCCTCGACAAGGCGAATGTGCACGCTTCAGTGGTAGTCTCGAACTATCAGCGGTGGACTGTATTTCTGTAGGTGCGTGGGCCACCCTAGGAATGGTTAAAGCGCGCGGGTTTGATCACAAGGTCTGTCAATAAGTCAAGTAGCGTGGTTTCGAATACGCGCTTGTGCGTTTTCCCACTGCCAAAGAAACCTACGCGCAAGCGAATTATTGAAATAAAATTGACCCATATGTTAGTCCCGAAATGACCTAGTCGAGTGGACGTTACCCCCCCCCCCCCCTCCCCTGTAAAAATTTACAAGATACGTCTTTTTGAAAATAACATGGATTTATTTCATCACCGACACTTCGTCGTGTGAGAAACAAAATGTTCTAACTACCAAATTGGTCAAAAATGAGATATGGGTACCGTTGGATTCAGCTTGAAGAGTTCTATCTCCTTACACTCTGTTATATGAACTATTATTTCACTGTAAAATAATATAAGCAATAATTTTTTGTTCTATCTCCAAAAGCCATATTTTGCCTAGAATTAGAATGTTCTATGTCCCTTGGCCAATAGCTGGTGTTGTTTAAGGTCACGTGATTAGCAGACCGGCTACAAAGTTACTGATTCATTGTGTGCCTAGAATAAGTTAAGTTTTTCCTTGTTAAATCTTTATTTTATTGTTGAATTATGAGAGTGAAGGGGCACATGAATGTAGTAGAATAAGTAGTGAGGCTGTTGACAATAATTTGAATTAGAATTAAAATGTTCAAGGATATAGAACGTTTTGCTAGTTATGATTGTGTGTAGATATTAAGTATCTGTGGACATAGAACAATACAATTTCGTTATTGTACTAAATGTTTATTTAATATAAAGCATTTATTAACATGTACGGTGGCTGATTTAGGACACGCACAAAAAAAATATCTCGAGCGCTCGAGATATTAATACTAAGATACTAAGATACTAAGTCGAGTGCTCGAGATACTAAGTCGAGCGCTCGAGATAATTAATTTGAGCGCTCGAGATAATTAAGTCGAGCACTCGAGATACTAAGTCGAGCGCTCGAGATAATACAATCGAACACGCCTCAACCGATGTTTTAAGCTGTATAATTTTGTGCATTATTTAATGATAAACTTGCAGAATAAAGATATTCATTTGTTCGTTTTTACAGCCCATCCAAAGCTGCAGTGACGGAGAGCCCCCCCCCCCCACACACACACACACCCACCCACCCCCCCCCCCCCCACACACACACACCCACACACTCCATCCCATGCTCATCACCACCACTAAAAATTTCCCATTACATTTACCACTTCCATGTAGGGAGGATATCGCATATTATTATCATACGAATCAATAATTGTATATATATCGAGGTTACAGAGTTTTGCTAGGATTGACATTTCCTCTTATCTAGAAGCTCAGGTCTGATCCAAGGTTATATATTCCATATGTGTAGGAACTGAGCATTACCTAATTTACCCTGGCGCAAGTGACGCGATCGTGTCGGGCTTCTACATTCAATCCCGCGCCCTTCAGGCCGCAATTCTTAATCGATCATCTTGAAAACTTTTCATACTTATTCCTTATACCGTAAAGATGTCCTCTATTATTTTTGGTGCAGGTCCGACCCCCTGAGACAGAGCCACACCAAATTTTTGTGTATGTTTCTCCTACAGGGCGCAATTCTTAACAGATACTTTTGAAGCTTTGCATACCTATTCCTTATACCCTAGGGATGACCCCTATTGTTTTTTTTTTTGCGTGATTGCCTGGATTCCAGGATCAGCGCCACACCCATTTTTTTGTGTATCTGTGTGTTGCCTACAGGCCAGGATTCTTAATGGATCGTCTTGGAACTTGGCATATGTATTCCTTATAGCCCAAAGACGACAACTGCATGTCCCGACCCCAGGGACAGAGCCACGTACATTTTTTTTTGTATTTACCGTATACAGGCCGCAATTCTGAATGGATTAGCTTGGAACTTAGCATATTATTATGTATTCCTAATGGCATAAGGGCGGTAACTATTGATTTTGGGCGCGGGAGAGTGGGGGAGTGAATGTAGAAGCCCGGCACGATCGCGACACTTGCTCCCGGGTAAATTAGGCAATGAACAGTTCCTACACATATGAAATAAATAACCTTGGATCAGACCTGAGCTTCTACTAGAT